ATTAAATAAGCGAAAACTCCAAAAAATATCGTGTGATTTGCGTGTTAATTAGAAATCATATTAGAGTTGTTGATGTGATTTTCTAACTAACATCGCAGATGCTTTCGTTGCTTTGAGGTAAGTCCCCATCTTGCAATTTATTTATTGCTTTGCATTATTGGGTGTTTCATTAATGGTTGCGCACCCGGATAAACACCTCACATGGTAGTGATTAGGTAATAAAATGGATCCAGACTGCCTGAATAAATATTTTTGAAAAGAAAAGGTACCGAAAGGGCGTTAGACTAGATCTAGCGTAACCAAATCCCCGAGCTTAGAATCTCTGGTTCGTAGGAATAAAACCTATCTCCCTATGTTTTATTTAGGTTTCTAATCGACCTACCACAAATAGATTAGTGGCGACTCTAAGCATGAAAACTTTTGCATGTTAAAAACTTAAACCCTAAGTTGCGAATTGGTAAGGGCTTGGGAGGGCCTGAGTTAAGCTTAGACTTAAGAAATCTTAGGTCGCGACAATCAGTGTAAAGCATAGTCTTTTTTAATATAATATAAAGCACGTACAATGAGTGCTTTCTTCGCAAAGTGTTTCGTAGATGTGAGGAAAAAAGAATCATCCATACCGAAGACAAAGCCGACATCAGAAACTTTATTCAATGCAACATTTCGCACCGTACCCCAGGAAGAATTGTCTTCAGAAAGGAAGAGATTAAGTAAGACATATGTAATCAAAATTAGTTGAGTAATGGACGAAAAATACGTACAAGGAAGAAGTAATATTATCCTGATTAACTAAAAAAACTAGGTATAAATTAACAACATTCGAAGCAAAGATGCATAAAGATGATAACTGATAAATATCCTGGCCTCCGTAAGGCTTTGTGAACTCTCGATATAAAAGATAGGGATAAACGCACTGAAAGTTCTAAAACTTGTAACGAAAGTGCAATTGAATCCTAAAACTTTCAAAAAGTGCAATCAATTCCCAAAAATTGTCAAGTTTGTGGATTAAATTGCTCTTTTGTTATTAGTTTTAGGACTTGATTGCACTTTTTGAAAGTTTTTAAAAGTCCATTGCACTTTCATGACTAGTTTTAGGAATTCAAGTACACTTATCCTTAAAAAAAAAGTTAGCAGTTGAAAAGATCAGGTAATTTGTGCTGTTATAAAAACTTTCAGAAGGAACCAAGTCCAATTCTCTTATATATTGCAAAAATCGAGATGTTTAATGTTGACTAAGCACAAACTTAGTTTTAGCGGGGTGCGATAGTTTAAGTAACTATCATTGTGTGAACAGGAATAAAACGCAACACCACATGATTGCTCTCTCGGAGAACGACGATTGTATTTCACAGTGAACCAATTATCTGCATGTCATCTTAATCCCCTGAGGGCTAATTCGTTTTATTCGGTTTTGCTTACTCAATCGTGATGGTCGGGAGTTTTACAAACTTCACTTGCACCTGTTATTTTGGTTTCCATTCCAGTCACAATCATAGTCCGTTGCTTAAGGCACGACAGCTATAGCTAGAACCAACTATATGCATATTGATCGGGTAAAGTACGTTGATGGAAAGGCATACTTACAGTAGTAGTAGGTTGTGCATTTTTTCCCTCGGTATCAGAAGCCTAAAGCCTAAGAAGCAAAAATGAAATGCTTTATCGTGTGGCGGCACCCAGTAGGACAGATTAAATCCGTTAGCCATTGCATTGTGGATGTCATTGTAGGAGATCGTGCGATTCTCCCGGGACAATGCTGCTCTTTTTTCCCGTAAAGATTCTGCTGCAAGTATTGACGTGGTTGTGGTGCAAAAATCCTCAATCTCTGATGCCCTTGCATCGATGACAGCATATGAATAATACCCGTTTATAGTTATACACGGTTTGGTGTCAATATATAAAACGAGATCTCGCTGGCTTTGAGCAAGACAGAATGGTCACCCTGGTTCGATCACCAGGGTAGTAGCTTTGATCGTCGTCACCACTAAAATTAGAGGACATTAACAGGTGGAGAGGAAGGGAGGAACAGTTGCTCTTCCACAGGCCGACATCGACCACTTCCATAAGCTCATAATAGGGGTTTATCGATTTCACGTGATATTGGCCAGCATACAAAGATAGCAGCACTGTGCGGTTGTCTTCACATGCTAGCTCCAATCTCGGCTCACCGCAGCCTTTCGGGTCGTCCTTGAATCTAAAGGGATAACTCAAGTTTCGAATCTCGCCACATGCTGAAGGAGCACATAGGTGGTTGTTCCTGGCATGGCAACTAATCCCAGCTTGTATTATGAGAAGAACAAGTAATAGGAATGGCTCCATTTGATACCTGAGTTGAGAGAAATTGTGCAATAGGAGAGAGAGTTTTGTTTGGCTTTTGGTTATTTGGTGGAGAGGCTCGATGGGAAAGGGGATGCACTTGGATGGGGAGACTTATCGGGATTGAAGTTGAACGATAGGAGCCGTCTTTTGAGAAGTCCAAGTCAAGCAATGACCCAGAGCCGGCCGAAGTCAAGAAAGAGGAGCTTCCCATGTTTGACAGAGCTGATTGAGAGGGAAGAGAAGAAAAAGATTTGTAAGATATTTTAGTTTGGATGGAGGGAAAAGAAAGAAACACTTAAAAGGGATCATGAGGGGTTGGATGTAATTAACTATTATGCGTACTTTAATTCCCTCCAAGTTTGTCCGAACGTGGAGGAATTCGGAGGAAAATTCGTTATTATTAAGTAATTTTTCTTCTTTCCCATTTATATCCTTATTTAATTAAAATTATAATTACATAAATAAAAATGACATTAAAATCATAATTTATATTCATTTCTCGCGCTAGAATTCAGCTAACATCACAATTTGATCCCTCAAATTCCTTCTTTTACTGACCAACTTTATTAATTTTTGTATGATTAAACTCGCAAGCGATGTTTTCAGTGATTAAGCTCCTAGCACAAGATTTTTTTATCTTAATCTGGGAATCTTAAGTGCAATTGTCACTTGAAATCCACCATGAAACATATGCAGCTTATTTTACCGTGAATAATATGATACGCCGACCTAGAACCAATTAATTCCTATAGAATGGTGCACATACACAAATGGTCATATCTACGTGCATCGGGTAAGATTTCATCTATATAATGGCGGGTGAAGCTCTAGAAATTACTTTAAGTGATGGACGATTCAAGTGTGAAATCTGACTTATTTAAAAGAAGTGGTCGATCACTCAGCACACTGTTAGGGGGTTAATGTGCGTCACGCCTTTGTTGATGTGTACACTGCACACATGTTGGGTGTAACTAACAGTTCATTAATATGAATTTTCCCAAAATACCATTGCCTAAATCAAAGGTTTAAGAAACAAAACTCACTTACTATTTAATCTACCCCAAAAAGAACCCCGCTTCTACATCGAACAACCTTAATTAAGGTAATAATAAAATCGATGCCCAGTAATTGGCCCATGTGAACAGCCGTGGATCCTCGACCTTGTAGGTGCTCCTTTGGATATCTCAATAGATCTTAATTGTTGATTCGTAAAGATGAAATTCTAATCAATGGTTGAGATTTCTCGAGATACAAAAGAAGTACCACGTGTGATAAAAGATCTTTCTCTTATAAAGCAGATTTGACCAACTCTATAGGTTCCCCAAACACCCCAACCCTTGAAATAACTTATCCCAGAGGGCACATAGTCTTACTTCTCACTCTCGAACTAACTAATCGATAATGGAAATATTATTCATTGGCTAATTATTTCAATCAATAAATTTTTTTTTAAAAACGTTTTTCAAATAATTTATATTTTGCGAACAATCGGATGCTTAGATTTGAAGTGAGAAGGACTCGATACTTTATTAGCTTCCACTCTCTAAATAAACACAAGTTGAAGTTGCCAACCTACCTACCTCGCCTTAAAATAAATGGAACGAGACAAGAAACAAATCCCGAAAACACAAGACTTTTGGATCGCGTCTCTGTCTTCAAGTCAGTAGAAATCGCGTTCAATTATTGTTGCTGGTCTCCTCGGGCAAGTGAGCTTGACAGGTCATGACATTGGCAAAGCCCAAAGTGTTCACGGGTCGAGTCTCCAATTATGTCCATTGTCAATCTAAAATATTGTCCATAGACCATTTAGGAGTAATTTTATATTATTACGGAAAGTAACGAGGATATCTTACTTTTTCAGGATTTTAAATCTTTTTCTCTCTTTCTAAATTACTTATTTTGTAAATGTTGTACCCATAAACAAGTACGTAAGTTTATAATTATATTCAAATTCGAATATCTTCTATTCGTTAACAACGTTTCCAAGAAAAATCAAAATTTTGATATATGATTTATCTTTTTATGTATACAATTACTTTGGACAATTTAGTTTTACCAATAACTTTTTTCTATACTGATTTTCAAAATTTTATAGTAAGACAATAGTGCTACATATGTATAGGACTTAGGAGGCGTTAAGACTAAGATGAACGCATGTCTACTTCCACAATTAAGGAGTTAACTTTTGCAATGTGATAAATGGATCGGTGACGGACGTGTTTGTCGTGTACAAAATCTCTTGATAAGATTACCTTTTCGCTATTAATTTGCTACGACTTGTTACTTGTCCATTGAAATTAGCCGAACACACCTACATCTACATTCGGACATGCATATGTATATATACGGCAAAACACGCAAGTTTTCATATCTCTAGCAACTGATTTTTTTGTCTTGGAACTTTTGGTGAGTTTTGCCTCTCTCGCTGATGCTTTTTTTCCCCCATAAACATTGTTCTTGCGATTTTGCGAGGAAATCCAGTACAACTAGTTTATCGACAACATCTGTATCTCTTGATCAAAATCAAAACCCAAGAAGAAAATAACAAGAAGAAAAAGAAGCTACAGTAAATGAGAAGAGGTTTTCCTAATGGTGAATCTCAGTCCCACATCCACCGAAGCAACATCTAGAGATCATCCAATGGACCATGTAAGGTGGTTGGCTACTCCTTGTCTAAGCCATGCAGCTGCGCAGTATGCACAGAGTGAACTATTCTTTCACCTTTTACTAAAGAATACCATGCGCACGCCACACTTAGCAGCATACGCCATTTTTTGGAAGGCTCGGCCTTTACAGGCTTTGAGTCTCTACAATTCTAAGGGCGCGCATGGAATCCATTCTCGAGCAGAAATTCTGCTCCAGAATGCATTCCGAAACAGAAATGCGTTTGTTAAAATAATTTTGGAATGCATTCTGGAGCAATTTTTGCATTCTGGAATAAAAACGCGTTTGGTAAAACTTCATTCTTTTTTTTGCTCTAGAATGAATTTTTGCTTCCAGAATGAGTTTTGGCCCAAAAAAGAGAAGCTACTTTTTGTAACTTCTCTCTTCCAGAATGCATTTTAGCCCAAATTTCCTTTTTTTATAAGAAATAAAAAATTTCAAAAAATGAAAAAATCAAAATTTTCAAAATTTCACAAAATGGCTTAGAATACTTGTGGCCATCCACTTTGAATGAAATTTAAATTTTTTGAGGTGCCAAAAAAAATCAAAAAATCAAAAATTTCAAAATTTCACAGAATGGCTTAGAATACCTGTGGTCACCCACTTTCAGTGAAATTTAAATTTTTTTAGGTGCCCAAAAAAAAAAAAAAATCAAAAACTTCAAAATTTTACAAAATGGCTTTGAATACTTGTGGCCACTTACTTTGAGTAAAATTTAAATTTTTTGAGGTGCCAAAAAAAATCAAAAAATAAAAAATAAAAAATTTTACATAATGGTTTAGAATACCTGTGGCCACCCACTTTGAGTGAAATTTAAAATTTTTTAGGTGCAAAAAAAAAGAAAAATAATAAAAAAATAAAAATTTTCAAAACTTCACAAAATGGCTTAAAATACCTGTGGCCACCCACTTTGAGTGAAATTTAAATTTTTTGAGGTGCCCAAAAAAATAAATAAAAAATAAAAAATTTCAAAACTTCACAGAATGGCTTAGAATATCTGTAGCCACCCACTTTGAGTAAAATTTAAATTTTTTGAGGTGCCCAAAAAAATAAAAAAATTCAAAAATTCACAAAAATGGCTTAGAATACCTGTGGACACCCACTTTGAGTGAAATTTAAAATTTTTTAGGTGCCAAAAAAAATTAAAAAAAATCAAAAATTTCAAAACTTTACAGAATGGCTTATAATACATGTGGCCACTCACTTTGAGTAAAATTTAAATTTTTTTAGGTGCAAAAAAAAATCAACAAATCAAAATAGATTTCTGTTCCAGAAATCAATTTCTGGAGCAGAATTAGTCATGTTTTACCAAACAGATTTCTCCTCCAGAAATCAATTTCTTGCAAGAATTTGATTTCTGGAGCAGAATGGTTACCATTCGCACCCTAAGTGTCAAGTATTTCCGAGAGGCCTCTCTGTGTGGGGGCTTTGAGATTGACCAATGTTAGGAGGAAAGTTTAGCTCCAAGGTTCATCGTTTGTATCAATTTGGACTGGATGTGTGTAATATCCTTCAAACTCCATATGCACAGATGCGCCCACCGATGGCCAGTTACTTGAGCCGAAACTTACCGAATGAGATCTGTTAAGTCCCGATTAAAGTGGATTCAAGAGGTGCTACTCTAAGCAATTTGTTTTCCATGAGTCTTCAATAAGGACAAACAACAATAAGTAAATGCACATATGGCTTCAACTGATGGAAGAATCATCGGTAGCTTACTGTGATATTTTTGAGCTACTCTTATCAGATAAACAATATTGCATGCAATGAGCCTCTTTTAACTCAGTTGCGAACGACAAAAGTTCACCCATTTTCTTTTTTGGTTTACAAAGACGAGTACACCATTTGGGCACAATCCATACACTTTAGATTAGACGATATCATCAGGGTGATCTGTTCACTGGGCTAGGGGCTTAACTTGCCTCCTGCGATGAGAACCTAGTTTCATTGGTATTTGACAATTGACAGTTTCCTCGCAAGATTTCAATATTGTGACTCCAATAAATATAAACATAAGTACATAGATTTGATGTGTGACATGGTCTCAAGGGTCACGTTACAAGACTTATATCACAATGGGATCCCAAAGTACATAAGATACGGGGTTTGATAGTGACAATTATTGCATACTGCTTTTTGCATATATATATCCGAACGATGAATGCTACGTGTACCAACATCATGAGATTATTTTGGTTCACTTTAGTGTAAAGACGAATATTGGGCTCATTATTCGAGGAATTCGATAAAAAGTCTGCATATACATATGAACGTGATGCTAATTCTTCAAGATGATTAGACGGAAAATTCATGAAATTTAATAGCCTATAAGACGAGTTGATTTCATGCCAAGGAAAGGACAAGAGTAAGATGGCACATTCATAACACTAATTTCGCAAACATAGAGATAGAAGAGATGAAGCAGGATGAAAAACTCAATAGACTAAAGTAACAAACCGGAAGATATGATGGGAAGGACTTCGGCCTCCTGCTCATTGCAACCTTCTTCAGCTAAGTTTCACTTGAATTTGGTGGCGGACTAGATGCCGCCATCTTCTGGTAACCAAGCTAGTTTGGAATCCGAATTTTCCCTTAGCTGAGGGCCGAGTTTCTGCCACTTATGCTCCGAGCGAACCATGTAAGGAAAGATGTGACCGAAGACGAGATCCACGCAGGAGAAATAAAGAGTGCACGTCGCATATAAAATGAAACTATTCCACGTCGGCCAGTGAAATTTTGTTGTCTTCACCAAATACCTTATGGTTGGCTATTTTTCTATTAACCATTTCAAATTTTCAGGTCAGGCTAATCAAATTTCATTGGTAAATTACTCTGGCTATCTTATGATCGAATTCAAGTAGCTAGAACAGTTGATTAAGTCGAGGTGCTATAGTTGAGTTGCTTGCGATTATGTAGTTGAATTTTGTAAGCATCTAGTTACATGTGTTAAAATGCAATATTTTAAAGAGAATATAACACTGAGGGCGCGAATGAAAACCATTCTCTTCCTCAACCCAATTTCTGGCCAAAAATAGATTTTTCTATTTTTATTCCCTGAATGACTTTCCAAGCAAAAAGTAGTGTTTGAAAACGACACAAATTTCTGTTCCCAAAATAGAAATTCATTTGATAGGTTATTCTTAAATTTCTGTTCCCAGCAACCGGCGGCGTTGGGGAAATGAGAAGTAAATTTTTAGCCCAAACCTATTTCTGAATTAAAATTTTGTCCTAAAAATAAAATAAATGAATTTGCGATGCCAAACGGATTTCTATTCAAAGCTTGCTCCTAAAAACAAAAAAATATAAAAAGAGAGAAATAGAATGGTTATCGTTCGCACTCTGAAAATCTTATGCTCTAAATGTTTCAAAAGTACAACGATTCTTAGCACCAGGCAGCCCAAATGGCTGTGTGCCTCTAGCAGACGCACACAAACATCTGGACCAGGAACAGAGGCCCAAGCCTTTGCAGTACATTGTGGCCCCCCTACGTATAAGAAGTGGCTTTCAATTTCCATAGGTGAGTTTGAAGTCTCACAATGGTTGAAGCAAGAAATGGAGAGAATCTTACGGATCATGGAACGTGGTTATCCCATAGTTGTTTGATCACGCAGCTGCGGTGTGCACAGAGCGAACTATTTTTTCCCCTTTTACTGGAACTGAAGAATACCACTTTTTGGGTGACCTTGCCTCTAGGCCTAAGCCTCTACCAACTTTCAAGTATCAATTGTTTCCAATGGGAGGGAAGGCTCATATAAATAATGTTTAAACAAGTCGGCAAAGATTTTGCATTGTTATGTTTCAACAGCTCATCTAAATTCACTTGGAGCATGCACATAAGCTGAATAGATGACCAACACCATCACTGGATCTTCTGCAGCAAGAGGTGGAAAAATCTGGGTATATGGTTTGGAGCTACAAAGCATGATGCAGATCCCAGACCAGTCAGTCCATCAGCGACATTAACTGTTCCAACTTTATATTTTGAGTGGCCACAACGATTACTGTAATTTATTAGCGAAAGAAGTACATAGCTGTAACTGTAGAAACTCAAAGGCGGATGAATTGGGGCTACATCATGCCCATTAATTATGAAAGAAACGAGATAGTGCTTTTTTTTATGCTTCACTCTCATCACTTCCTACAAGTTGCAAGTAAATTCTTGGGATTGGAGGCCTTTCTACTGCCATAACCCCCTCCAAAATCTGAACTACCTGAGACATAGTTGGTCTATCTTTCTCGCTGTCTTGAATGCACCAGCAAGCCACTTTGCATGCTCTGCACAATTCTTCCATCTCCACGAGTCCTTTCAATCTGCGGTCCACAAGTGGCAAGACTTCTTCTCCTTTGGCTATTGAATTAGCTACCTGAAGCGGCAGATAATCACGCATATCACTACTCAGCTGATCAATGTTTCTCTTTCCCGATATGATCTCAAAGAGCAGCTTTCCGTAGCTAAAAACGTCGACTTTCGATGTGATGGCTCCACCAGAAATCCATTCTGGTGCGAGGTACCCTCTGGTTCCCCTCATGGTGGTAATTAGGTGGCTGACATCCCGTCCCATGAGCTTCGCGAGGCCGAAATCAGCAATCTGTGGTGCGAGTTCTGAATCCAACAGTATATTCTCTGGTTTGATGTCGCAGTGTATGATGCGATCTCGACACCTTTCATGGAGGTACACTAATCCTTTAGCAATCCCGATGGCGATGCCATATCTGGTTTTCCAATCGAGGGTGTTGGAACCTTTCTGAAACAAATGAGCTGCAAGCGAACCATTTGCAAGGTACTCATATACTAGGAACCTTTTTGACTCTCGTGCACAAAAACCTCTCAGACGAACGACGTTGACGTGCTATATTGTTCCGATAGTTCTGACTTCCGCAAGGAACTGTTTGTTACTGTGGTTTTGGTTCGCAAGTTTCTTCACTGCTATAGGAGTTGAGTCTGGCAGTGCTCCCCTGAAGACACAACTAAACCCGCCTTCCCCAATTTTCTCAGAGAAGTTCTTTGTCGCCTTCTTCAGAACTCGATATTCAAAATGCATCAAATGATCGTCCGTTGCACTAGCGGACCGTCTCCTCCTAATGGTCACCAGCGACCCACTGAGGACCAAGAGAAATGCTACGGACACAACTACA